CACTGCTCTACCATCATCCACCCACTGGGTGATGTCCTCATAAAAGGCTATCGGGTTTGTCAAGCATGACTTCCCCTTAGTGAAGCCATGTTGACTGCCCCTAATGACCCTCTTATCCTTGATATACCTAGAGACAGCACCAAGAAGAAGTTGTTCCATTATCTTTCCATGGATGGAGGTGAGGCTGACCAGTCTATAGTTACCTGGGTCTTCCTTCTTGCCTTTTTTGAAGACTGGAGTGACATTTGCTTTCCTCCAGTCCTCAGGCACCTCTCCCGTTCCCCACGATTTAGCAAAGATGATGGCGAGTGGCCTGGCAATGACATCTGCCAGCTCCCTCAGCACCTGCAGGTGCATCCCACCAGGACCCATGAATTTATGGACGGTCAGGTTGCTTAACTGGTCCCTAACCAAGTCCTCATCAACCAGGGTAGACTCCTCCTCTATCCTGACTTCCTCAGGAGCCTCAGGCTTCCGGAACTCAGGATAGCCTCCAGCAGTATAGACTGAGGTAAAGAAGGCATTCAGTAACTCTACTTTCTTATTATCCTCTGTCACCAGTGGGCCTACATTGCCTCTAGCGTTAGTTTTATCTGCAATGTGTTTGAAGAAGCCCTTTCTCTTGTCCTTGACCTTTCTTGCAAGGTTTAATTCCAAGGAGGTCTTAGCTTTCCTAGTTGCCTCCCTACATCCTCTGACAGCAGACCTATATTCCTCCCAAGTGGCCTGCCCCTCCTTCCATGATCTATACACTCTCTTTTTCCACTTGAGTTTGCCCAACAGTTCCCCATTTAACCATGCAGGTCTCTTGGTACCCTTTCTTGACTTCCTACCCTTTGGGATGCACCGGTCTTGAGCTCAGAAGAAGAGGTCCTTGAAGGCTAACCAACTATCTTGGGCCCCTTTACCTTCTAGTAATCTGTCCCATGGGATTTCTCCTAGCAATTGTTTGAAAAGATCAAAGTTGGCCCTACTGAAGTCCAGGGTTCTAGTTCTGCTAGGTATTCTCTTCCTGCCACATGAGATGCTGAACTCCACCTTTTCATGGTCACTACAACCAAGGCTACCCTCGACCTTCAGCGCTTCAACCAGACCCCCCTTATTAGTGAGAATAAGATCCAGCAGCACTCCTCTCCTAGTAGGCTCATTCACCATTTGCATCAGGAAGTTATCATCAATGCACTGAAGGAACCTCCTGGATCGTGGATGGCTGTCTGAGTAGGCCTTCCAGCAGATATCAGGATAGTTGAAGTCCCCCATGACAACCTGCATTTGTGAGACCACTATCAGCTGCCTGTAGAAGGCCTCATCAACCTCCTTTTGCATCTATACAAATAGATGCAAAAAAAATAAAGAAATTACTTTTGCTGCAAAGAAATCTTTATTCAACTACAGTCTAATCAAGGTCAAAATAAACCAAGCTAATGTAAAAAGAAAGACTTTGTGATTCAGATATCAAAACATAGCAAAATGTTTGAATGGAGCCCACATAGATATCCCAAAGGTCTCTTTAGTATGTCCAAAGAATGCTTTAAAGTGGTGAAAAATATACAGTCTTTTCTGTCTATAGCTTTTTGTTGTTGTTGTTGTTTTTTTTTTGTTGCTCCTTTAGTACCTTTATTTATTTATTTATTAACTTTATTTTTAACTTTAACTTGAATATCTTGTTTTTCTTTTTGTAGTTTTCTTTTAGACTCTTGTGGGGAGCCTGGCAGCATGTTTTCTGGACTTGAACTGTAGAACTGGGTCACTTTAGAAAAAAAGTAAAGCTGTAGAGGAAAGTGGGTGGAGGAAAACGGAGAGCCAGCAGTGTACCTGGAGGGTTAGGACAGCTAACTGGTGTGACCCTGTTTGCTTGGGGAGCAAGCACAAAATTACAATCTCGTAAGCTGCCAGGTAGGCAAGGTGTTACAAGGGCTTTGACTTAAAGATCTTCAGATATCCACTGAAGGGTTTGAATTCAGGGTTTGAATTCAATTCACAATAAATGATTTCTAAGTGAAAACCACAATGACTTTGCTTTGAATCTGGTCTAAGTCTAGTTCTTCTGGACTATATTATGCTGTTGCTGTAAATACCAGGCCTAGTTTTGACTTCTGCAACATAAACAAGACTCAAATCTGTGTTTTCTGCTGTTTGTTTTTTTTCAGAAGTTTCTGTCTGTATCTCCCTATTACCTGTTTTGGTGGATAAATAAGGAGATGTAACAAATTTGTTTTAAAGAGGGAAAAATACACATCAGTCTTCTGAAATCTAAATTTCAAACTATACATATATCAACAGAACTAATTTCGGAAATAGACAAAATACAGCCTGTTCTCACAATACTGAAATAATCAATATGAAAGGAAATAGTAACATCACAGACAAAGTCTTTATTGTAATGAGAAAAGCAATGGCTAACTCCTTCATGCTTACCTGGCCAGACACTGCATTTTCACAAACAAATGTTTCATAATATTTAGGGAATTCTGGTGCATGATCATTAACATCAAGAACTTGGATATATACATTTGCTTCTGAAATTTTTTCTGGATTTCCTAACAGTTAGAAAAAGACAGAAACCAAAAGTTATAAATAATATACTACATATTTTAAAGTAATGTAGACATTAGAAAATTTTACTTAAATTCTGCAGAAAAGAAAATAGTCACTGAGACCTACAGATACATTTTATACTAAATTTCTTTGATGAGTTCAAATATATCTTATACATTAAAAAAAAAGAGCATTCTCTTTCTTTGCTGGGGTTCTGTTTACAAAAGGTGGTGGGTATTTGTTTTAGGTGGGTTTTTTTTCATCAATCCATCACATTAAATTATAATAATATATCTTGAAATATGTAAAGATATTTCAGTAAAATCTTGGATTTTTTCACTCTTTCATTTACCAAGTCAAAACCAGATTTAAATGTAAAAAAAAAAATTCTGATCTAAAGAAATTAAACAACGTTTTGTTCACACAGAAAAGTTTACTGTACTAACCATGTGTAAGGGTATGTGGAAGGACAGTGTCTGCTCCTCTGAGGGTATCTGGTCAAGGACCTTATTCAATGCAACAAGAGTTAATAAGAAAAGATGGAAGCAATAAACAAGAACATACAGGGACACAAAACCTGAGGGACAAATGATAAGGGAGGGGATGATGAAAACCAGACCTGGTCAGATACATTAATTGATGGGGGCACATGAGAGTGTAAGAATGTTTATTCCTTTGAGGTTATCAGATCCGAGGCCTTGTCAGTTGGGAGAACGAGAGAGTGAAGGGGGAAAACAGAAACAAAATACACCAAGACACAGACCTGACCAAGCAAACGTGGAGACAATGACAAGAAACAAACCTCATAACTGGTGGCCTAGCTGGAAACCAGAGGTCAACAATTCCAGATAGGTCAACCTGGACTTTGCAACTGATAAGACTTTGCAACTGATAAGAGCGACTCAAGACCCAGAGGGGTGTGGGAGTCAATGGAGCTGTACAGATCCATGGGGGACACACAGGGCGGAACAAAGAGGGGGCAGACAGAAAGAGGTGTAAAAGAGACCAGTGGCATGTAAAACAGGGCCAGTCAGTACACTCCTCTGGCTGAGCCTTGGGCCTCATCACTAGTCAGTCCTATCATCTGATATGCTCGTATTAAATCTTTTCTTAGCTATCTCTCTGTATAATCTCACTCTATCATTGCATGTGTGTGTCTGCTGCAGGGAACAAGTGCCAGCTCCTGGTGAGACCTTTGTGGATGTTGGTGCCAGCTACTGGAGTCATACGGGGGTAGGTGCCCCCAGCATGTGGTGTCAGCTGCTGCAGGAAGGGAGGGTGCAGGGGACCAGCATCTGCAGCCTCCCCAGACTGAGTCTGGGTGAGGTGTGTGTGCGTTTTTGCTAGAAAACTGTAAGTTGGACTCAATAGTGAGTAGAGGGTCCTTGGGTCAAGGCCAGATGCTCAGGAGTCCATGCTGGTACGCCCGGGAACACTCGCAAATGTGGGGTGCAGGAAGGACAAGGGTTTGCCAGCAAGCATTGGGCTGGACCAGCTGGTGAGTTGGGGACAAATGAAGCAGATAAGAGGACCTGTGATCAGGGCAGGGGTGCCAGGCAGACAGAGGGTCTGTGCAGATACTGAAGGGATCTGTGAGTATATGTCTGTGCCTGTGAACTTGGAGTGTCGTGTGTGTGTGTGCGCGTGCGCACGCACACATGCGTGTGTGTCCCTGCACCAGTGACCTTCTACCTCTGCCAGCAGAAGGGAAGGGAACTTGTCTGTCTGTCCTTGTGGTTTATGTGGATGCAAGTGCTGCTGAAGGTAGCACCTTGCCTGTGGCAGTCTGCGTGACTGCACGTGTCAGTGTCCTCTGTTTCTGTGCATGTTCGTGTGTCCCAGGGACATGTGCTCAGCTTTGCTGCTGGTTAAGTCTGAAAACAGGAAAACATCAGCTGCATCCCAGAGCCTGAGCAGAGGCTTCAGGTTCCCAGGCACCGTGCTGGGCTTCAATGGCCTGATGGAAGGTCCTGGATTGGGGCGGCTGGAGGAGGCAGCTCTACTCTCCTACATCCCTTGACATCATGGTTACCATAATGATTGATCACAATTCTTTAAGAATCTGTTACTCTTCCTCTTCTTTAGATTTTGAATCTTTGGGAGAAAATTTTACCAACATTCACATGCTTTAAACATGTTTCTGCCACTGCTAACATGGAGTAATTGCAGTGGACACTGATATCCAACCCTAGCTAAGACAGGAAACTGGGAGCTTGAATTTGGAACAACAGAACTGTTCTATCCACTGGTCTCCAAACACCTATTTTCAAGGAAGTTTGATTTTGCCCATGCATGTCTAAGCCATTACTGTTGACCAATTTCATAGACTGAGCTGATAGTTCTGTCCAAGTATTATTTAAGGTTTAATTGGTAATTTTGTGCTAATGGAAGCCACACTGTTTCTGTTACACAAGTATACTTTATTACTGTAGCTTTAGATACAAAACTATGTATGGTTATTCCCATGTAAAGAGGAAAATAACCTTTGCTAATATGAGGCATTTTTTTCCTGCATTTACTGCATTTACACAAGGTTATACTGCTATAACTAACTCAGACAAGTTAAATTCAGGCATAACTATACCAGTTTCATGGTACAAAAGTTGTATGTAGACTAGGCTGAAAAAAACTGTTCGTTTATGTAAAAAAAAATGTTTACAAATGTGTCCCCTGAAACCAAAGGAAGGAAGATCTTCAGGTACAGCATTCTCCTGGGAAAACTGGCTCCTTATGGTCTGGACGGGTGCATGCTTTGCTGGGTAAAAAATTTGTTGGATGACCTGGCCCAAAGGGTCATGGTAGATAAAGTAAAATCCAACCGGTGACCGGTCACAAATGGTGTTCCCCAGTGTCCTAGGTTATGATGTAAGATGTGCCCAAAAGTATGTATTCTATCACCATCTTCATGAGCTGTTGAGACCAGGTGGAGCAGTTTCCCTTGCCTCCTCCTCACAGACTGTCTTCTGTTAATGGGCCATCAATGCCTTGCCCATGACTCATGGATCACTCCCTCCAGGAGCTATCTCTGTTTGATGGGAAATCAAGGATCTGCAGCCAGACTCCCAGAACAACATCGGCCCCATTGGGAGATGCTCCAGCCGGGAGGGGAGGGGCGCCTCGCGACTGCACCGGCGCGCGGGAAAAGGCGGCGGCGGCGGCGGTCGGGCGGTCTCTTGCAGTCACCGACGGAGACAGACGGGCACTTCTGGCTGCTGCTGGACTAGTTGGGACAGAGCAGCCACTCGAGGGTTGCTGCGTGCCTTCCCCCAGCCCTGGGAGGCCTGGGCCGGCCGGCGTTGACACCCCAGAGGAGCGGTTTTTTCTTCTTCTCTGCCGGGTTCCCGGAGGAAG